AAGGAGAAATAAAGACTTACTCAGACAAAAGCTAAGGGATTTCAGCAACACCTGTCCTACAAGAAGTGCTAAAGGTCTTCGACGTGAAAGAAAATCATGGTAACGAGCAATAAGAAATCATCTAAAGATACAAAACTCATTAGTAATAGTAAGTACACAGACAAACACAGAATATTATAACACTGTAATTGTAGTATGGAACATATGAGTGTATCTTCAGTAGAAAGACTAAACAGTGAACCTATCACAAAATACAACCAGAGCAACTTTTCAAGACAGACAATAAAATTGAATATAAATAGAAACAACAAAAAGTTTAAACGCATTGGGGGTGAGGGGATAAAGTATACAGTTTTTATTAGTTTCCTTTTTGCTGTTTGTTTGTATATGTAATCAGTGTTAAATTGTCCTCAGTTGGGAATAATTAGTTATAATGTAATATTTGCAAGCTTCATGGTGAACTCATATCAAGAAACATACAATAGATACACAAAAAATAAAAAGCAAGAAGTTAAGACATACCAACAGAGAAAATCACCTTCACTAAAAGGAAAACAGGAAGAAAAGAAAGAAGAAAGAGAAGACCACAAAACAACTAAAAAAAAAAAAAAACAAATAACAAAATCGCAGGTAAGTTCTTATTTATCAGTAATAACATTGAATGTAAATAAACTAAATTCTCCAATCAAAAGACATACAATGGCTTAATGAATTTTTTTAAAAGACCCAATGATTTGTTGCGTATAAGAAATACACTTCACATATAAAGATACACATGGACTGGAAATAAACAAATGAAAAAATATTCTATGCAAATGGAAACCAAAACAGAGAAGGCATAGCTATATTTAGACCAAGTAGATTTCAAAACAAAAACTATGAAAAGAGACAAAGAAGCTCATTACATAATGATAAGGGGATCAAGTCAATGGCAAGATATAATAATTATAAATATACATTCATCCAAAACTGGAGCATCCAGATACATAAGGCAAATTTATCTTTAAAATAGATATTTTTAAATAGAGTTAAAGCAAGAGATAGACCCCAATACAATAGTAGCTGGAGACTTCAACACACCACTTCCAGCGTTAGACAAACCATCAAGACAGAAAATCAACAAAGAAGCATCAGACTTAATCTGCACTATAGACCAAATGGACCTAATAGATATCTATAGAACATTTCATCTAACGGCTGCAGAATACACATTCTTTTCCTAAGCACATGGATCATTTTCAAGCATAGACCATATGTTAGGTCATGAAACAAGTTTTGAAACATTCAAGAAAAATGGAAATAAGAGCAAGCATTTTCTCTGACCACAATGGAAGAAAACCAGAAATCAATAACAAGAGAAATTTTGGAAACTATACAAATATGTGGAAATTAAACCATATCCTCCTGAATAATTAGGTGGTCAATGAAGAAACTGAGAAACAAATTTAAAAATTTCTTAAATGACAATGAAAACACAACATACCAAAACCTATGGGATACAGCAAATGCAGTACTAAAAGGAAAGTTTATAGCTATAAGCAGAAAAACTTCAATAAACAAACAACCTAATTATGCATATTAAAGAACAGGAAAAGCAAGAACAAACCAAACCCAAAATCGGTAAAATAAATTATAAAGATCCGAGCAGAAATAACTGAAATTGAAACAGGAAACAATACACACAATCAATAAAATGCAAAGCTGTTTTTTTAAAGATAAATAAATAAACAAACCTTTAGCCAGACTTAGAAAAAAAAGAGAGAAGACCCAAATGAATAAAATCAGAGATGGAAAAGCAGACATTACAACTGATACCACAGATATTCAAAGGTTCATTAGACGCTACTATAAGCAACTATATACCAATAAATCAGAAAACCTAGAATAAATGGATAAACTCCTAGACACAACCTACCAAAATTGAACCATAAAGAAATCCAAATGCTGAACAGACCAATAACACATAATGAGACTGAAGCCATAATAAAGTTGCCCAGCAAAGAAAAGCCTAGGACCCAATAACTTCACTGCTGAATTCTACCAAAATAGAGGAGTATTCCCTCCTCTTCTATTTTTCAGAATAGTCTGAGTAGTTTTGGAATTACTTCTTTTTAGAAAACTAATTCCTCTCTTCTTTAAGGAGAAGTAATACCAACACTAATCTATTAGTTGGCTAGTTCATTCTCTTTAAAAAAGAATTAATATCAATACTACTCAAACTATTCTGAAAAAAGAAGAGGAGGAGGGAACACTTTCAAACTCATTCTACAAAGCCAGTATTACCCTGATACCAAAACCAGGGAAAGACACATCAAAAAAAGAAAATTACAAGCCAATATCCCTGATGAATATTAATACAAAAATCCTCAACAAAATACTAGGACATTGAGTTCAACAACATATTAAAATGATACTTCATTATGACCAAGTGGGATTTATCACAGTGATGCAAGAATGGTTCAACATACCCAAATCAATCAATGTGATACATCATATCAATATAATGAAAGACAAGATCATTTCAATTAATGCTGTAAAGTCATTTGATAAAATTCAACATTACTTTATGATAAAAACTCAAAAATTGGATGAAGAGGGAACACATCTGAACACAATAGAAGCCATATACAAGAGATCCACCGCTAGTATCATACTGAACGGGGAAAAACTGAAAGCCTTTCTTCTAAGATCTGGAACATGACAAGGATGTCCATTTTCACCACTGTTGCTTAATAAAGTACTGGAAGTCCTAGCTAAAGCAGTCAGACGAGAGAAAAAATGGACATCCAAATTGGAAAGGAAGAAGTCAAACTATCCTTGTTTGGAGATGATATGATCTAATGTTTGAAATAACATAAGACTCCACCAAAAATGATTAGACCTGAGAAATAAATCCAGTAATGTTTCAGGATGCAAAATCAATATACAAAAATTAGTAGCATTTCCACATGCCAACAGCCAACAATCTGAAAATTAACCAAAGAAGTAAAAGATCTCTACAAAAGAAAACTATAAAACACTGATGAAAGAAATTGAAGAGGACACATACCAAAAAAGTGGAAAGATATTCCAGTTTATGGATTGGAAGAATCAACATTGTTAAAATGCCTACACTATCCAAAGCAATCTATAGATTCAATGCAATCCCTATCAAAATACCAATGACATTCTTCACAGAAATACAAAAGGCATCCTAAAATTTATATGGAACTACCAAAGACCCAGAATAGCCAAAGCTATTCTGAGCAAAAAGAACAAAACTGGAGGAATCATATTATCTAACTTCATAGTATACTACAGAGCTATAGCAACCAAAACAGCGAGGTACTGGCATTGAAACAGACATACAGATCAAGGGAACAGAAGAGAGAACCCAGAAACAAATTTATACTTCTACGGTGAACTCATTTTCAACAAAGATGCCAAGAACATACAATAGGGAAAGGACAATCTCTTCAATATATTGTGCTGGGAAAACTGGATATCCACATGCGGAAGAATGAAATTAGACCCCTATCTATCACCATATACACAAATGAAGTCAAAGTGGATTAAAGACTTAAACCTAAGAGCTCAAACTATGAAACTACTACAAGAAAACATCTGAGAAGCTCCCCAGAACATTGATCTGGGCAATGATTTCTTGAGTAATATCCCAGGAGCACAGGTAAACAAAGAAAAAATGAACAAATGAGATCAGAACAAGTCAAAAAGCTTCTGCACAGCAAAGGAAACAACAAAGTGAAGAGACACCTTACAGAATGTAAGAAAATATTTGCAAACTATCCATCTGACAAGGCATTAATAACCAAAATATACAAGGAGCTCAAACAACTCTATAGGAAAAAATCTAATAATCCAATTCAAAAAATGGGTAAAAGATCTCAATAACATATCCCAAAAGAAGATATACAATGGCAAACAGGCATATGAAAAGGTGCTTAACATCACTGATCATCAGAGAAATGCAAATAAAAACTACAATGAAATATATCATCTCACCTCAGTTAAAATGGCTTTCACCCAAAAGACAGGAAATAACAAATGCTGACAGGGGATGTGGAGAAAAGAGAACCTTTGTACGCTGTTGGTGGGAACATAAGTTAGTACAAACATTATGGAGAACAGTTTAGAGGTTCCTCAAGAAAACTAAAAACAGAGCTATCTTATTATCCAGCAATACACTGCTATGCATACACCTAAAAGAAAGGAAATCAGTATATCAGGAGGTATCTGCACTCTCAGGTTTACTGCAGCATCATTCACAACAGCCAAGATTTGGAAACAACCTACGTGCCCATCAACAAATCAATGAATAAAGAAAATGTGGTACTTATACACAGTGGAATACTATTCAGCCACAAAAAATAATACGATGCCATTATTTGCAACAATATAGATGGAGGTGGATGTCATGTTAAGTGAAATAAACCAGGCAGAGAAAGAAAAACTTCACATGTTCTCATTTATCTGTGGGTACTAAACATTAAAACAATTGAATGCATGGAGACAGAGTAGAATGATCCTTACCAGAGGCTAGGAAGATAATGAGTTGGGTGGAAGAGGGAATGGTAAATGGGCACAAAAAAAAATAGAATAAATAAGATCTAGTATGTGATAGCACAATGGAGTGACTATAGCCAACAATGATTTATCGTACATTTTTAAATAACTAAGAGTAGAATTGGATTGTTTGTAATACAAGAAAGGATAAATGCTTGAGGTAATGAATACATACCTCATTTAGTCTGATCTGATTATTATACATTATATGTCTGTATCAAAATATCTCATGTGCCCCATACGTATATGCAGCTACTTTAGATGCCCACAAAAATTAAAAATAAAAAAGTATTAAATTTTAAATAATGAATAAAATTAAAGAATCCATAAAAAAGAAAATGAGTATCTATACATGCTGCAATTCTGTGAAGATTAATTCAGTCCCTTTCAAGTTGTGATATACACTAAAAATTCCACTAATATGTTTTAATACTTACAATATCTGTCGTTAGTGCAGCACATGGATGAAAATGATCAAAATGAACATCATCATGTTTTACTGAACATATATGCTTCTCTAAATCATTGTATCTCTCTCCACAGAGCACTAAATATGAAGAGCAAGAATGTCCAAATTAATGAACATATAATTATTAGAATATGGATAACTTTATAGTAAAATATAAAAATCTCTTTAAAAAACTTTATAGTAAAATATAAAAAATATGTGCTTACCAAGTCTAACTTCATATGATTGATTTTTATATGAATGGTCTTTGAGAAAGTTGAGACATTTGTCAGCCTGTTTCTCAGAAATAAATTTCTCTTCCATAATCTTGTCTGCCCATTTCCAGTACTGTTTTACTGAATGCAGCCACCTTATAGAATAAACATGCATATAATTTAAATAAAATATAGGTGCATTTATCAAGAACTTGAATAATTTAAACAAAGAAAATTTCTCAAGTTTAAAAAATTTAGGGCATGTACTCTCAATCTAAACCACCAGAGTTTGAGACGCAACTCCATTACTTCACAGCTGTGGACTCTGGGACAATTCCTTAGCTTCTTTATGCCTCCATTTCTTCATCATAACATGGAAGATAACAAGAGTATCTTTCTCATAAGGATGTTGTAAGCCTTGAATGAGTTAATATACCCACCACGTCGAAAGCACTATGTGTTTGCTATCAGTGTTGCTGTTAGTATCATTGTTGCCATTACCAGGAAAAATCAAGTCTGGTCACAAAACGATACTTGATGTTCATATAATGCTTTGTTGTACTTGTGGTCACCATCAACAAGGTCAATGACTATGTCCCACTTATTCTCATTTTAGCTTTAATTGCTGGATAAAAACAAAGAAAGGGGGATACAATTCTCTATCTTACTTCAGATGACATTTATTTAAAAATTTTGGCCGGGTACGGTGGCTCACGCCTGTAATCCCAGCACTTTGGGAGGCCGAGGTGGGCAGATCACAAGGCCAAGAGATTGAGGCCATCCTGGCCAACATGGTGAAACCCCATCTCTACCAAAAATACAAAAATTAGTGTCAGATGCTCAGGAGGCTGAGGCAGGAGAATCATTTGAACTTGGGAGGCAGAGGTTGCAGTGAGCCAATATCGCACCACTGCACTCCAGCCTGGCGACAGAGCAAGACTTCATCTCAAAAATAAATAAATAAATAAATAAAATTTTATAATGAATAATTTAAAAAATAAAATAAATAAATGAAATTAATTAAAAAATAAATTTTTAGAAATTTTCCTACACGATTTCAGATCTGCCTATTGGAGACCTTGATTTTGTTTGGAGATGTTTTCCTTCTATAACTTCCAGGAAATGTATCTTCAAAAAATTTTAGAAAGCCAGACAGGGTAATGTGCACCTATGATCCCAGCTACTCAGAAGGCTGAGGTGGGAAGATCGATTGCTTCAGCCCAGGAGTTTAGGGCCAGCTTAGGCAACAAAGCGAGACCCCTGACATTTCAAAGACTGGGTAATAAATTTATTTGAAAGCTATAATATTATAGAAAAAAAACCTTAAAGACAACAGACCATATAGACAGTATATAATTCAACCACTGAATATATAATCACCACTCCGTGCCTACTTAGTGAGAAGATCTGGGTTATCTATGGCAGCTGAAACAATCAAAAAGGGACATCGAATAATGACAAGGAGGAGCTCCCAAAATTTTACTCCAACTTCTCTGCCAAGATAATGGACCTAGTAAAGAAAAAGAACATCAGTTGAAAAGTTTATTTCAAAATGCTAAGTGAAAAAGATAGAAGCATAAAATCATCATGCATATTTTTCCAGTTTCCTACAAATGACCTAACCTAAGTAAAGGGAATGGTGATAAATTCAGACAACAGAGATCACTGACACTTCACTCTCTTCAATCTCTGTAACTAATCCATTATTAATTCCTACAGATTCCAATTCAAAAAATCTATTTTGAAGCTATTTTTTTCTCTCCATTTTTTGTTGTCATTGAAGCCACCATCACCTGGCTTTCTACAATAGCCTTCTGATTTTTCTCTTAGCTTCCACTCTTTCTCTAGACTTTCTTCACATTATAACTCTAACAGTATTATTAAACAAAAATCAAATTAGGCCACATCTCTAATTAAATCCCTACAATGTCCTCTCAATGCATTTACAGCAAACTACAAGCTGCTTAACTGGAAATATAACTTCCTGCATGATCTCGCTCCTTCCAACCTTTCCAACCCCATCTCAGGCCACTTTCCCCGCCATGTATGCTGTTCCCAACATACTGGCCTTTTTTTCACTCCTTGGACACACGTGTCTCACCTGAGGGCCTTCACATATACCACCCTGCTACTTAAAATCCTCATCCACCTCTTGGCTGACCATTTCTGCTTATCCCTGCAAAGCTCAGCTGAAGGTCATTGCCTCAGTAACACCTTTCCTGCGTACTCATTCCAAAGTTGTTCTTACTTCCCATTTTGCCATTATCTTGGTGAGAACAGACTGATTTTTTTTTCTTCGGCATTTGTATCACACTGTTTATATTTTCATTGGTGTATTTACTTATTTCATTGCTCTCTCCTTCACTAAACCACAAAGTCAGTACTGGCATACCAGGGAGAAAGCACAGTGCCTAGCACAGAGTAGGTACTCAACATCTGTTGAATGAATAAATCAATTGCCTTTGGTTAAATAATGCAAATTAAGACCTAGAACGGAGGCCCAACTTTTGGTCTTCATTGAACAGAAGAAATCATGACAATTGGGTCTCAGCTAGAAAGACCTACTAACCAAGCCTAGTAATAAATACATGAAGAAATATATTCTCATATCCCTTCTGACTTTGATCTGCTCATAAAATCACTCACTTTACTAAATGCTAATCTTATATTTTGTATCAGCTGGCAATTTCTCTGAACTTTCTAGAATAAACAATTTTTAAAGACTTCTTACAATCAAGTTTTATGGAATTACAATCAGGAAACCCAGGTTACCCACGTTTTATTTTTGGTTTTTTTTTTGTTTTATGTGTTTTTGTTGTTGTTGTTGTTGTTTGATTAGTTGGGTTTTTTTTGAGACAGTTTCACTATTGCTGACCAGGCTGGAGTGCAGTGGTGCAATCTTGGCTCACTGCAACCTCCATCTCCCAGGTTCAAGTGACTCTCCTGCCTCAGCCTTCTAAGTATCTGAGATTAAAGGCGTGCACCATCACACCTGGCTAATCTTTGTATTTTTAGTAGAGACGAGGTTTCATCATGTTGGCCAGGGTGTTCTCAAACTCCTGACCTCAGGTAATCCACCTGCCTTGGCCTCTAAAAGTACTGGAATTACAGGCATGAGCCACTGCACCCAGCCTCATTACCCAAGTTTTAACATTACTGTGCATATGCACTTTGAGACAAGATCATAATCCAAGGTTCTAGATTGTGAAGATCAAGGGTTTTGTTTTGTTTTCCCTTAAAACGGGAATGTTGGAAGTAAGCAACACACAGTACAGCCTGATGCATAAAACGAAATAGACTACTTTCAGGACAAAGAAAGCAGAACGACAGCATGTCCGCCAGTTCCCAACTTCACACAAAAAAGGAGTAGATCCAATACATAGGTTTGTCACCTAGTTTTCCTTTAAGCTGAAAATTCCTTGAAGCAACAAAATACAAAGCTTGAATTCTATTTAGTACTTTCCATTCATGTTGGTAATAACTTAGCTATGTCCTCCCAGAGCTACACCATTCTCCACATTGCTCTTTGACCAATGAGTCTGACCTTGGAAAATGGATCCCAGCCTCCCTAGCTTTCTAGCTTCTATTGGGTTTGGCCAGTGGGAAGCCTAGACAAGAGATGGGAAGGAGAGAAGACAGTGAGGTCAAGGTCTTTATTCTTTTGGCTACTTCCCTAAGAGATCCAGCTGCGTTCCTTCACCAAGGTCACTGTTCTTCCCAAAGAGACACATCTACAGAATCTCTCTTCTTTTGAGGTTCATCCTGCTTCCTCCTTCCATCATCCTTACAGGGTTGAAAGGCTTGTGCTATTCTGGATTACTGCACTGACCTTGTGGTTTCCCTTGTACAAACCTTTGTAAACAGCCCCTTTATAAAAACGCATTTTTAAAAATTTTTAAAAATATAATTTTAAAAATTATACTAATGTGAATATGCAATCTGTTTTCAGTTGGTACCCTGGCTGACACAAAACTTAGATAATTCCTATCACTAAAAAAGCCCCACATTCTTTAAATTAGAAATTATAGTGTGCATGCAGACGAGAACATCAACCCAGAGAATTAACACCAAACCTACCTCATCGAATATAACATATCTAATCCTTTTCACCCATTTTTGGCGATGAGGAGCAAGCAGCAGAATTTCAAAACATTCAGGCACTGTAATAAGTACCTAAAAATATGAATGATTAGTGCAGTTAACTTTATTGAGAATTAATTTTATATCAGGTGTAGTAATAGGAACCTAGAAAATATGCTGCAGCTGATAGCAGTTTCATTAAGATAATATCGCATCTTTGACATTTTTCATTTAAATCTTTACATTTGTGAACATTTGGATTAACAAACATGAAAAAAAGCTACTGCTCTGTAATGACTGTTTTATATTTTGTTGAGTCTTAAGTGTCTACTTTGTGAATTCAGTAAGGGAGACAATCTATCGTAACCTGTGATTTACCCATCAACAGGTCCACTATCAACACACAATCTTTTTGAGACAAGTCTTTATTATGAGGATCTATACACATCATTCACAAGAACTAGCAATTTTGAATGGTAAGAAAAGGTTGGGTAGTCATTTAGTAATGCATTGGGTTTGTCAAATCTACTTGAATTCCTTTCTAAGTGATAATAAAATATCATAACCTTCTATCTGAAACTTCAGCTCATAATGTAAGTATCCTTAAAAATGGTGAGCCTAGCTTTTATTTTTTACAGTAGAACAACCTTAAATTTTCCTTAGAGCAATTTTTTTTGTAAATTCAACGAAATTATTTCTATAAGGACTTGTGCTTTGCAGATTCCCAGAAAAACAGTTACATATGTACTGCTCTATAATTTGATAATAAACTCATTAATTAGTATGTCATACCTGAGAGTTTAGTGCATTGTGACGATAATCTCTTGTGAAAGCACCACATAGAGTTCTGCCAGCAGGTAACCTTTTAGTAAAACGATTCTGAACACTTGCAGCCACCTGAGAAACAACAGCCTGATTGACCAAAAAAAAAAAAAAAACCATTAGTCACTTAGAAGAGAACAGACATATAAAACCTCAGAGGACAACAGAATCCATATATACACACCACACACACACACGCACACACACACACACACACACACACACACACACAGATTAATGAAAATGAAATAAAGAAGTAGGGAAAAATACAGATGATAGTGAAATTATTTGATTCCATTGCAGTATTCTCTTTGAGCCTCCTTGATTTTACACACACACACACACACACACACACACACACAGATAGATAGATTGATAGATAATAGATGATTAATAGATAGGGAATAGATAGATGATAAATAGATGATAGATAGACAGAGATAGATGACAGATAGATAGATGATACATACATACATACATATCGTGTACATGATGATGATAATGGAGGAATGGATGACTCTATGGAACGTCTGGCTCATGATTCCAGGTAAAACGTCATTGCTCTGCCTGAGCTCCTGGCGCTCCCTCTGCCTGTGTTTGTCCAGATCCTTTCTGATTTAAGCCCTTGCAACTCGCTGCCTAAAAGAGCCCCGAGAGCCCATGTGGCCTTCCCTAAATTTTTCAGCCCCCAGGATTCCCCTTCTATTGTTTTGAGCTTAGCTATAATTATATGAAAAGATGTTTGGTGCCTCTCATCCATGATTTCAGGTGTTTTACACAAAGAGATTTTTCTGTTGCCCTATACCACCATATTACTGGAAATGGAAGTCACATATACCTGGCTGTGTTTTTTAATTGAAACAATATTAATTGAAAGCAAAACATAAATCTTCATAATTATAATCATAGCATACCACTCCAAGGGAGGGAGAGAAAAGAAAAAAGGAAAGGGGAAGAGAAAGAAAGTAAGGGAAATAACTTAAAATGTAAATTTTTAAAATATTAATCCTTAAAAATACTACATAGTTATCATTTTTATATTCTTGATAGTGAAATATTTTCTAAAAATAAGTATAATTGCAGTAACTATAAACAAAAATGTTAATATATTAGATGAAATGAACATATCAAAAATAGTTTCTTGGCCAGGGACAGTGGCTCATACCTGTAATCCCAACACTTTGTGAGGCCGAGGTGGGTGGATCACCTGAGGTCAGGAGTTTGAGACCAGCCTGGACAACATGGTGAAACCACATCTCTACTAAAAATACAAAAATTATCAGGGCATGGTAGCATGCTCCTATAATCCCAGCTACTTGGGAGGCTGAGGTGAGATAATCACTTGAACACAGGAGGTGGAAGTTGCAGTGAGCCAAGATCATGCTACTGCACTCCAGCCTGGGCAACAGAGCAAGACTCTGTCTCAAATAAAATAAAATAGTGAATTAGACCTACCACGTGACCATGTTCATTCTTTTTGAAGGGGACATTCAGGAACAAAAGAGAAAATGAAAGTCACTCAAGTGCTACCTTTGTGGGTGCAACATACACGACCACCTCATCATCGCTCTCCCTCAGCACTTTCTCCATGCAGTAGTAGGAAGCATAGGTTTTGCCTGAGGACGTTGGGGCCACAATTACTGCTGACTCATTCTTATCCACCACATCCAGGAGTTCCCGCTGCAGGGTACAAAGCACCATTTGTGTCAAGAATGTGAACACTACGTTACCAAAGCACAGACAGTATCCTTCTGTCTCCTGTGCCTGTGTCGTGCTACCCTCTGGAGAACTCCCTGAACCCCTGAAGATTAGGTCTAGTGGACACTCAAGGATTACTCGTGCCGTTCCCTCAGAAAAGAAATTTTGTTTTACATTTTGGCCTAGAGAGAGGGTTTCATTTCTGCAAAACAGAAAGTGACACTGAGTATGACATCTTTTTCCATTAGAAAACACTTTTTCCAATTGTCATTGAGTAAGCGCAGGAAAAGGTTTGCCAAACTGAGTTCTAAAACTAGTAATGCCACATTAGCCTTCACATACAGATATCAGTATAACTTTCAGTGACAGTGAAAATTAAAAGGCCAAGAAGGGGGAAAAGTAAACAATTTCTCATACTTTAGTTACATTCTTCAAGCACAGGAGAGGAATGACGTTCAACAAGATTAAGAAGCTTATGCAAAACATAACATGTAGAGAGACACAGTAATGAGCAGCTCTGAAGTCACGCTGATTAGAAAAGTACAATGTTTGTCGTCATTACCTGCCATGTGTCGGGAATAAAATCCTGGACCCTGGGATCTGGATCCTTTCTTTCATCTCGTATCAAGTAATGGCCCATGTATTGCAGTTGAAACCGAGCTGGCCCCATGCCAATCGAATATTTATTTCCTTTATTCTTCTCTTTGTCATTCCCTGTCACCTGTTATTATTTCAATATATTATTTTCTTTGAAATCAACTTAAACTTCAAAACAGAATAAACATTTATTAAATATCCACTTAGCACATTCTATGCACAAGGTATTTTTATTTTGTATTTATTTATTTATTTATTTTTGAGACAGGGTCTCGCTCTATCACCCAGGCTGGAGTGCAGTGGTTCAATCATAGCTCACCGCAGCCTCAAACTCCTGGGTGCAAGTGATCCTCCTGCCTCAGCCCCACCATCTCCTACCCCCTAGCTGAGTAGCTGAGACTACAGGCACATGTCATCAAATCTGGCTAATACTTTGTGTGCATGTTTTGTAGAGACAAGATGTTGCCATGTTGCCCAGGCTGGTCTTGAACTCCTGGGGTCAAGTGATCTGCTCACCTTGGCCTTCCAAAGTGCGGAGATTACAGGCATGAGCTACTATGCCTGGCCTACTATCCTTATAAAATATGTAATACTTAAATAAGAAAAGTTTTACTGCCTAAAATATTATTCTTGGGAAAAGTAAAATAACAGATATTAATGTTAAAAAAGTTCATCCTGGAATTGGAACCTGGAACCCTATTAAAGATCATTCTTCAATCTCACAACATTACAGTTTTTAGATTGTGCTAGAATTAAGTATTGAATTCTTTCTTGTTACCAAAAGGATTCAAAGTGGCAACTGGATATCATCTAGTATTTAATTTCTGTTTTCAGAAAGCATCTGTACAAATTTTCTAATTTTAATTTACTTCAAAGTTCGGCAGATAGGTTACTAATAAGTAACCTCAAATCTATTATTTTACAAACTAGAATCAGTGTAAACTTAATCAATTGATAACTCTATTTGTGAGATACTTTTTTAGGCTTATTAGTTATTCTTCTGTATTTAAATTTAGTAAAAGTTTAAAGTATAAGAAATTCTACTTCTCTTACCAAAGTTGGATCTAAAGAGTTTGCCAAATCATTAAAGCCTAAACAGTTAAGGCATTTAGCTATATATTGATGATGTTCCGTTTCCAAAATTTCTGGGTATCTCTCCAGGAGTGAATGAATCCTTTTCATCATTTGAACAGCAATACTTAAATCTTTTGAAATTTTGCCTTGTTAAAGAAACAACAAAATTGTTATAAAGAGCATCAGAAGCAACTGCTTGATCACTCATGACAATCACTGAGTTAATAAATTAACTTCATTTGATTAAACTCACTATTTTACTTGACTTTAAACGAGATTTTTAGAGCATTAAAAACTAAAACTCATGATTAAATTAAATTACCCACATCTCATTATCAACAAGTAACTTTGTCATAGCTTGATAAGTATAGGCAAAAAATAAAAGAAACAAACTTTGTGATTTATAGCAAAAATAAGAACCATTTAAACTGAGCTCTGAACACATTTCCAGAGAAAAATAACAGAATACTACTATGTCTTCCACACTTGTTCATAGGAAAAAGTCCTATGGTTTTAGATGCCTGACCAAAACATGAACAACATTTACCAAGGCCTACTCTTGACCACATACAGTACTTGTATTTATGAATCCATCAGCAGAACCCTTCAATCATTGAGGGCTAAGATACAACCTCACTGCATCCCAATCATTCTATCCAGACTCTCCTAAGCCCTTCTATTACCTCCTGTTCATATATAGCCTCTTTATCTCTATCCCACTACTAACATTCCATATAAAGTCAGGGCTGCTGTAATATCCTCTTTCTTGACAAATACCACTGAGCTACCGCTTATGCAGACCACCAGTGTGTGCTTTAAGGAAGTACGAGTGAAATTTAAGCCAGAGTTCTTATATGGAGGAATCTTCAGTCTAATTGGAGAACAAGGGATTAGTGCTGAAACGGATAAGTAAAATATCTAAGTGATTCACAATTCAGGGTCCAAATGGAGTGATAGAGGCAATAAGTGTTATGTGAACTGGAGAAGTTGGGGGGACTCCATAAGAAGATGGGCATAAACTGATCTTGAAGGACACACAGAATTTAGACCAATGGACACAGGCAGGAGAACATCCGTAGCAGAAACTGCACACTACCTCCTCAACATCCCTTCTCACCCAATGCTTTCTTATAAATCCCTATGCTAATGGATACTGCAGTATGTCCAATTCAAAGATCGCATTTTCTAATCTCTCTGTGGCTAGGTGTGGTTTTGTTACTAAGTTTGGCCATTGAGAGGTAAGCAGAAATTGGTGAATTTCTGAGACAGAAGCCTCCTTACATAAGAGAAATGCAGCATGAATGTACAAATTTGCCCTTTTTTCTTCTTCCTACTTTGTTCTGGATTACAGTCATCATGGCTGTAGCATCAGCAGCCAACTGCATTCATGATATAACTTTAAGAATACAACTCATGACTCTACTGAAGCTACAAAAATTAGTCAGGCGTGGTGGTGCATGCCTGCAATCCAGCTACTCGGGAGCCTGAGACAAGAGAATTGCTTAAACCTGGGAGGCAGAGGTTGCAGCAAGCTGAGATAGGGCCTCTGCACTGCAGCCTGGGTGACAGAGTGGGACTCAAGACTCTGTCTCAATAAAAAAATAAAATAAAAAGAATACAACTCATGCAGTAAGAATGGTACGATAGCAGAGTCTAAGTTCCCAGTGACATTGAATTGCTTATCTCTGGACGTCTTTTTCATGAAAGAGAAATAAACTATCTTTTTAAAGCCATTGTTCATTCCTATCTCTGTTAATAGCTAATGGCAATTCCTAATTGATATGGCATCATGCATATGAATACATAAAAACACATATGCTATAGCTTAGAGATGAAAATGAGCATGGTCTCTGGCAGCCACTGAGGCACTGGCTTTGTGGGAAGTCGAATAGAGGCATGAGCCTGACTACACAGTCATGTGGCCACACATGGAAAGGAGCTCAGTAGGAGATACTCAAGACAGGGTGATCAATCACAGCAACTTGAGGAGGAATCGTCAGCTTGGTCTAGCATCAAAATCAGCTATCTCAGGCCAGGCACAGTGGCTCACGCCTGTAATCCCAGAACTTTGGGAGGCCCTGGCTGACGGATCACCTGAGGTCAGGAGTTCGAGACCAACCTGGCCAACATGGCAAAAACCCATCTCTACTAAAAATACAAAAATTAGCCAGGCTTGGTGGCTGGCACCTGTAATCCCAGCTACTCGGGAAGCTGAGACAGGAGAATCACTTGAAGCTTGAACCCGCAAGGCGGAGGTTGCAGCGAGCTGAGTTCACACCACTGTACTCCAGCCTGGGTGACAGGGTGAGACTCTGCCCCAAAAAAAGAAAAAAAAAAATCATGCATCTTTATCCAATCTTTTCTCTATTTCTTTCCCTTAGTTATCTCTTCCACAATTCAATTTTCAGAAAAATAAGTAATAAAAGCACACATTACAAGTCATATGAAGAAATAACACCTGAAAATAGTATGCTCACATCACTTCTGCTACATATTTCACCAAAATCATTCTCTACTGCCAGTTGGCGACATTGATACAGGAGCACAGCGAGCCAGAGAAACCTGAGGGAGTGCTTAGAATGCAAGGCAGCCAGGGCCCATTCCAACCCAGTTCCCTCCCTGCCAGCCCATAGTCTGGAAACGGTTGTGTCCCGTTATCTAGGACTGCAGGCACTATTGGGCATCTATTCTTCCATAGCTATGGCTCTCCAGGAATTCTGGTAACCACTCTCTTCCCTGCTCTTATCAAGAACTATCAAAGGGCTGAGATTTTATCCTATTTACAAGCTACCAATTTACTCTTTCATAGTTTCATGGTTGCTGGCAAAAGACAGGAGACTCCTGGGTCAGAGACAAAAGGCTTTATTATCATGGCCCAGTTAACAAAATAAGCATGGAGTATATGTCAGTTCTCCTTGTGCTCCATGGGGGAGATACAGAACCCAGGTAGAAATTGCATACAGAGAGGGTTTATGTCACAGCTAAGGAAATCTGAACTTAGAAAACTGAAATATTTTATAATGGGTCTCAAGTAAAACCTGCTTCTTTGCTCTGGAGGGAAATGTGATCTTTATTACGCTGGACGGTAAACACACTTGGTCTTTGCCCTAGAGAGAAACACAATTTCTTCCTTCCAAGCCTGTTCACTACACAAACATACTTAAGAAGATTGTCTGGAAGTGAACCTGTCAATGCTTTTGCAGGCTAGGCAGGAGAAACATGGAAAACCCATGGAGAATCCCCTGCCAACAGCAACTTCAGATCTCCCTGGTGCTGACAGCTTTCCTTCTCTGATAGGCGCTGTTGCTGCTGCTGAGCCTCACCCTACTTTGCTGATCCCCTTAATTCTCCCCACACTTTTGGAAAGAGTTTTTTCTTTATACTCTCTTCATTTCTTTTTGAACGTGCCATCTTTTCCCCATTGACACTCTCTGTCTAACCTCTCTGCAATTCCATTTCCTTGTGTGCAAAATATGATAATAATAACTATTTTAAAGGGCCAAGTTGAGAATAAAATCAGACAATGGATGATACGAAGTTTTGGCACAATCATGCATTCAATAAATACGTTAGCATCATTCATATTTTCATCACTACTCTTAACCTATAGAGTATGGAATCCCATACCTTTACCGTGGCAATGTTCTTTCCATGCTTTAAAGCAGGCAATTAATCCTAACATTTCAACTCCAAATTTCGCTGAATTACTTTTACATGACGTCAAATAATCTTCCAATTTCCTTATTCCAGAATGTAAGTTATTTTTCATCTCCTCTTCAATCGAAAACACCAGATCATCATTTTGCTGTTCTTTACTCTGCTCTTCTTTGGGAATTGTCTTTTTCTTTTTCTTTTTGGTAACTTTTTGGGGTTTAATATACTGCTCAATAATAAAAGGAACACATAAAACAAGAGGGAAAATTCCATTATGACATTTAATTAGTGAGAGTATTTTTTGTTCATTTACTGAGGACTCTGGCCATCATTCTACTCTTGCAAGGGCAAGAATGATTAGTGTCTTTTTTTTTTTTTTTGATGGCTATAATCTTTTTTTATTATACTTTAAGTTCTGGGGTGCATGAGCAGACCGTGCAGGTTTCTTACATAGGTATACGCGTGCCATGTTGGTTTGCTGCATCCATCCCCACGTCATCTACATTAGGTATTTCTCCTAATGTTAGCCCTCCCCATCATTCTCAGCAAACTGACACAAGAACAGATTAATGTCTTTTCTTAAAATTAAAGTCTGTGTGATGCAGACCTATTTAAATTTTAGTATAAATGTAAACAGCCTCTTACTGCAGAGAATTTTCTAGATTTCTAAGTGGCATAGATTAGTAATAAAGGAATAAATGGAAGAAGACAAAGAAGAAAGAGTGGCCACTGAGCTTGATTGTAGGGGAGCTTCTTGGGGATTTGGAACTTAATTAATTTATTCATTCTCCACCCCACAAAGCATTCTGGGCCTCCCCGATCCCACTCACTCTTTGAAGACTCATCTTGAAAAACACCAACTGTCTAGGCAGACATTAGTCAATGAGGAAAAAGAATTTCTGAATTCCACTGGAAGACAGAGGAGTCACACACACTTATTGGCAATTGTTCCCACCTCTCCCCAAACTAGATCACACATTTACTTCCCTGTTGCTTCCATTTCAGTGTGGAGGCTGCTCCTAGGCCTCACGCTACCAACGTCACAAAACTGAGCAAGATCCCACCAGTTCCTGGCCCGGCAATTAGCGCTGCCAAAGGAGCAGAGGTGCACACCCTGGGTCCCAGGGGCCAGCCTCAGGCACAGGGCTTGGCAAAGCAAAGGACTCAGCTGGGTGAGGCCCCTGCAGAAGGTGGTTGCTGCAGGATGCTGTATTCACTTTGATCCTTATGCCTGAAGCCAAGCCTGGACCTTTGCCTGAGCCAGCCCCACCTGGCCATCCACAGCCCAGAGAAGGTTAGGTCTGTGGGCTGAGGTGGTGGGGCCTCTACAGTGTAAAGCGTGTGTTCTGTGGCTGGATGGACCCTTAAATAGCTCTAGGAGAGAGACCTAACAGCAGTGCTAGGAAACCTACAGTGTCATTAGGGATGATGTAGGAAGAAGAAAAGTTCCTCTTAAAAGTTTCCTTTCTTGTTTAAGAACAATTCATGACTGTTAGAAATAATTGTTTTAAACACTTTCTTTAAAAGCCTTCTTGCGTTTTTCCTGGAAGCCCTATTCTATGTGGCTGTTAGACATGCTTACAGGCACGTAGTACATTCTATGTCCTTGTACTTTAACCAAGGCATCTGTGCTGGACGTGCTCACGAGCATGTCCCAGCTCGCAGATTATGCCCCTTCCTTATTTGGACTTCCCTTTTTTGCTCTCCATTGCTTTTACCTGTTTGGAAAAGTTTCAAGTTATTAGACAATCAAATTTTAGTTTAGATTGTGAAGTCTGGCTCCAGCCAACAGAGATCAAACACAGCAGTAAGGACAACCCCAAATGTATAAGAAATAAATTCTGTTTTCTTTTGTTCATTGTACTCTCGTGGCAAGACTGCTAGTGGGAGTACCCTTTCTGCAGTAAGTAAAAAGAATTGCTTTGCTGAGAGATCATTTGTCCCAGTACTAATTCTTCTCCACAGCACCAAAAAGAAAAATTTTATACTAACAGATGACTATTTAGTCTTATGTAGAATGGCTTTGAGGAGATATCCTCTCACTGACATATAAGATCTCCTTGCAGATTTTGCAACATCAGCCTGGTTAATGAATTGGGCATCTGGCAAGGAAAAGGAAGACTCTAGATCTCTGATCAAGAATTTTCTGAAATTAGTGAGAAAAAGAAATGTTTTCATAATTTGGATTTTTTTCCTTCTGGGGCTTTTATGTTTCATTTTCCAAAAACATTCCCTTTCCTATTCCAATTGAGGTAAGGCAGCCGTGATAAATGCGTTTGGTTTGTGATCTTTCAAGTACTTAGCATTGCTAACCTCAGGAAGGGAATTTACCAAAACAAATAAATGTCTTTCCTTAATTCCCAACAATGAGACCAAGAGGGAAGTACCGAGGCCTAATGAAATCCCCACTGATGAAGAATGATCCCAAGGTGGTAACCCCCCAAGCAGAGCCATAAAATCTACCATTGGTTCAGTTACAAACACTGTCATTTGTGTTGCCTGATACATTTTTCACATTAACTTTTTAATCTTTTTTTAATTATAGGGATTCTAAGTTTGTAAACAAGTATGGTCTAAAGAGAAAGAAAATAGGTATAGAGGAATCCCACCCTTTCAAGAAGACATGGTCTTACCTCTAACATCAACAAAAGTCCAGGGTAGATTAATGGCATAAATGGCTTAAAAACATATAGACGGTTTTCAAATTCAGGCAAAATAATGAAACTGATGGAAACATTAGGCCTATTTTTACCACCTCTATGTGAAATGATTTTCATTGTAATAAACTAATACACAAAAATTTTTTTGTTTTTGTTTTTTCGTTTTTTTGAGACAGTCTCACTCTGTCACCTAGGCTGGAGTGCAGTGGTGCAATCTCGGCTCACTGCAACCTCCACCTCCCGGTTCAAGCAATTCTGCTGCCTCGGCCTCCTGGGCAGCTGGGATTACAGGTGCCCAACACCAAAAAAAATTTTTTTGTATTTTTAAAAGAGACAGGCTTTCCCCATGTTGGCCAAGCTGGTCTTGAACTCCTGACCTCAGGTGATCCGCCTGCCTTGGCTCCCCAAAGTGCTGGGATTACAGGCATGAGCCACCACATCAGGCCCACAAATATTTCTTTTGACTTAAATTAGACATTTCTAAATCCAAGCTTGTGATAGGGCAGGGACAGCAGGGAACGGGGAGGTTGGGGAGGGATAACACTGAGAGAAATGCCTGTTGTAGGTGACAGGGGGATGGAGACAGCAAACCACCAAGACATGTGTGTACCTATGCAGCAATCTTATGAGATCTGCACATGTACCCCAGAACTTAAAATACAATTAAAAAAAAAAGCATGTGGCACTTCCCAACACTTCCTCCTACTCCCGTCATGTCTTCTGTCATGATTATACGTTCCCTGAAGGCCGGACATGGTGGTTCACACCCGTCATCCCAGCACTTTGGGAGGCCGAGGCAGGTGGATCACCTAAGGTGAGAAGTTTGAAACCAGCCTGGCTAACAGGATGAAACCCCAACTCTTCTGAAAATACCAAAAATTAGCTGGGTATGGTGGTGTGCGCCTATAATCCCAGCTACTTTTGGGACTGAGGCAGGAGAAATCCCTTGAACCTGTGAGGTAGAGGTTGCAGTGAGCCAAGATCGCGCCACTGCACTCCAGCCTGAGCAACAGGGAGACATTTCATCTCAAAAAAAAAACAAAAAAAAACAAAAGAAAAAAGAAAGAAGAAAAGGAAAATAAAAAGAAGTTCTCTTAGGCCCAGAAGCTGATGTCACCATGCTTCCTGTACAGCCTGCAGAACTGTGAGCCGACTAAACGTTTTTTCTATATAAATTATCCAGTCTCAGGTATATCTTTTTAGCAATGTGAGAATGGACTAATACAGTTAGCAAACATGAGAAGGAGGAACATGAAAGACACTTCCAGAGATGAATATGAGCCTAAAGAAAGCAAAACAACATCAATGAAAAAAATGAGGTAAAATCTATAAGATCTACCTGCAATATTTCACCACTGGCACCACTGGAATCCTCCTTTTGCTGAGTAGTTTGAATCGAAATGACTTTTGTAGAGACTGATTCTAGTGATTTTCCATAAAACCGCTGATAAGCCTGACTCTTTTTCAGGAAATCAAGAACATGAGGATCTCTAGATTGCTCTGAAATAGAAAGACTTAAAATGTAAATATGTATTTTAAATATTGCTATATATGTGTGCTACTCATGCATTATTTTTTTAACTCCAGAATAATAATTCAGTCTTTGCCAATGAGGTCAGACTATCATATGATGACAGAATAATTCCCTGTATTATTTGAAGAAGAGAGAAGACAAATAGCTGTGCTGATGTTCCTCTCCGAGTACCTGGACATTGTCTCTGTCATTTGGCAGAAGAGGAGAAGAGGCAGGTTGGAGGGAGTCTAACAGCACATTCACATAGAACAGGGGTCTACAAACTGGGTCCACGTGGTCCAATCTGATCAGTACATGTTTTTAAATTAGTTACACTCTAAATCATTATATCAGTACCTACATCATGCTCTCAATTTTTGACTCTTGGTCTGCAAAGTCTAAAATATTAATTACTTAAACCTTTCAGAAAAAGTTTGTTGACCCCAGACGTAAAATATTGTTTGTATTCCTAAAAAGGAAAACCTCTACTTCTGGTAGAGGTTTCAAATATTTAGGAGCTTACAGTTGACAGATGCTGATACCAATTATCTCACGCCATGCAAAAATTCCAATGACACAGAAAATTCCAGGAAGCAAAGTTAGACTCACTTGAAACCTATGGAACACTCTTTACAAACAAAAAAAGATATAAATAAGCTGGTGTTTTGTTGGTTTGGACGTTGCTGTTGTTTTCTGTGTCTATGTATGTGATCACAAACCATACCACTCTGGAGGCACACCATGCAGAATCCTGGTAGACACTTACATAACCAGGCATCTTCCCATATGCAGTTGGCATGCTTACTTGACTTATTTCTAGATCTTTCTGAAAAGTTTTACTAGTTCTGAAAGGGTAGAAATGAACATGGGATTGGAGAAAGACACTGAAAGAATGAACCAGGAAGAAAATATCTATGAATTCCTTTCCTTAGGACCCATTTTTAATTGTTTCATGGGCTTTACTTTTTGCAAATGCAATCCCTCCTCATTACTGAGTTTTCATAGACACAGTTATGCTGGTACTTAGCACCATGCTATCAACTAGGCAATAGTTTAGCAGGAAAAGAGCTAAAATTTTAGGAAGATTATGGCTGTATCAGCATATTTACTTCAAGGTATAGACGGATTCCTAAAACCATCAACTATCTTTCTCACTTAAACAGCATCTGCTATTTTCATGACAATACCATGCATGTGCTTGTCCTTAAAAGATTAATAAATCCCTATCTGAATTAACAGATACATCTGTGTGTATACATACATGTGCACACCAGACAACGTAATGGGATTTTTTTCAGACAGCATGCTTCCTAGAGTGCCTCTTCAATTTCT